CTAGGACTCCATATAAAATATTCTTAAAGTTGAAATGCTAGGTCAGAAAATATTTTGTAAAGGGTACAGAGGACATTTTCAGTGTGAAAGCCAGAAGTAGTATATAGTCGATATATTTATCTCAGTTTATGTATGCAGAAGAATATCTGAGAAGCATGAAGATTACGAGCTTTCTAGGAGGAATAAAGAAATACACGAAATATTTGCCTAAGGGGAAACAGATGAAATTAAGTTAAAGAACTGAGGGTGGAGCAAGAAACCAAGCTGATATGCAGCACTAGTAGTGCTGTAACACCCAAAGTGTGAAGTGATCCCGGGGCTGAGAAGTTTCTAATGCAAGTGTGGTAAACTTTAACTTGCCTGCAGACAGTGAAGAACTACATTTGTAGCTCAAAGTGGCCGTTGCAGTTCTATGTGTTGCTCACTCACCAGCTTGTCAGGGTCAACTATTTGGAGAGGTTTGAGTGAAGGTGATGGGTTGTGTTTTGATTTGCATTCCATGTGGGTATTGGAGGTAGTAGAACAGAGGTTAATATAGGACCCTGCTGCTCAGTGGTGGTTCACATATCATTAGTATCAGCCTTACTTCAGAGCATGTTAAAAATGCACATCTCTAACTCTACCAAATTAGAATCTGCATAGCAAGATCTCCATATACATCTTAAAGTTGGAGAAGCACTTAAAAAAAGAAAACTCTAGGGTGGTACCTGTGGTTCAGTGGGTAGGCGCTGGCCCCATATACCAAGGATGACAGGTTCGAACCCAGCCCTGGCCAGCTAAAACAGGAGTAGCAACTGCAACCAAAGTAGCCAGGCATTGTGGCAGGCACCTGTAGTCCCAGCAACTTGGGGAGGCTGAGGCAAGAGAATTGCCCTAGCCCAAGAGCTGGAAGTTGCTGTGAGCTATGATGCTACAGCACTCTACTGAGGGTGACAAAGTGAGACTCTGTCTCAAAAAAAAAAAAAGAAAGAAAACTCTTATGTTTAAACAGATGGTAACAAGCAAAACTAGGATCGGTCCGCGCATTCTATTTAGAATATCCTTGTCCCAGATTCTCCTTTCATTTACAGATAGAACTTCATCCCTGATGAGTAAAGGCTATGACATCTGTTTTACCCTGAACCCACTTGATCAGTAGCCTTTATTATCTAAAATAGGCTCCACACCTAAGAATAACAAAACACACTCTAGCATAGATGCCTTAAAATCTACATATCAGGCCTCTGTGTTTATGTATTGGCAAGAGCTCACACCTGTACAATTCCAATAAACTTAGTGTTATATTTCCCTGCCCACAAAACATTGGAAGCAGCATATGTAAAGTAGGGCAGAGGGAACGAAATAAAATAGAGTACAGGTGAAGCTTACAATAAGAATTGATAGTGGAAAGAATGGCTTTGACATTTCATGGTTAGTTTTGTAAGTCTATCTACACCTCAAAACTAGTAACTCAGATCTTAGAGAAATAGTATTCAACCCCGGTTGCATGTTAGAATCACCTGAGGATTCCTTTTTTGTTAAGAAAAAGGTTATTCCCAAGCCTCAGTTTCAGGGATTCTGATCTAATTGGTCTGGGGATGGTATCCAGGCACAAGTATTTTATTAAAGTTTCCCAGGTGAGTCTTAGTGTTTTAGGGTCAGTGCTAGACACCTGAGTAGCTTCTAAGTAGGCCCTTTATAGCTTGTTGTAATCATTGACAATGATTGGTTAGGATGGCCTTGGTTACCAGTATTTTATTTTAAGAGGAAAATTCTATACATTAGAAGGGATTTTTGACATAGAATAGGATAGCCTAGAACCACATATCCAAGTCCTGTGCACGGTCAGAGCAATCTAGAGGGAACTGGTAGGATGAGGCATACACCTACCATTGCTCTTTTCTGATCCTCCCTCTGTAGAACAAGGTTGACCACATGCACAGGGTCTTGTTCCAATGAAGATTTTAACTCAGTAGGTCTGGTAAGGGCTCAAGATTCTGTAGTTTTTATGAGTTCCAGGTGATGCTATTATACCTAGTTCAGAGACCATACCTAAAGTAACAAGGCTCTAGATAAGTGATTTTCAGTGATGTGCTATAGAACACTCGTGTGCTGTGAGAGACCTTAGGTGTGTCCCGAAAATTTTTAAAGATCATTAATTATTTTTGAAAGAAGTTCAAAGTACAGGAAGTATATTTTTTTACTCCTTTAATTAGCAAAATTAAAGTGTGCTGCAGAAGTTTAACTACAGGTTCAAGTGTGCTGTTCAGATGAAAAAAAAAGGTTGAAAAACACTTTCAACTGCTCTAGATCATCTTGATGGGCAGGACTTGCCCTCAACCCCTTCTGTGGAACCCACACAAAAAGGATGGCTTCCTTAACTCCTGAAGAGTAAATTCCACTGGGGTCCTTGATATCCAGGGAAATCAAAGCTATAGACTTTCCTGAACTAACTTCATAATGTTGATCATCTCATTTCTTAACCATTCCCTCTTCCCACTAGGCAACTCAGAGGATCAGAGTCTAATGAGTTAGAACTGGGCTTGGAGCACATCTAGTTTGGCCCATTCATTACAAAAGTGTGGCTCTGAGGCTGAGTTGTTAAAGGATTTGCAAAGTTCACAGGGAACAGTCTAAAGTCAAAACTAAATCTAAATCAGGATGGGAAAACATCAGTTGAGGATTCTGTCAAAATGATTACTTCCTACAACCTTCTAGGTGAACCACCAATTTGCTTATCTTCAGAGAATTTACAGATTAAAGAAGACTCACAAAGGAACATAAAATTCTAAAGTCAGGCTGACATTATTAGTTAGATAGCTTTCCAGTCTCTGAGACTACACAATAGCTATTGTTTCCTCTCCTGTGGAATGTCCATTAAAAAGCCTCAAGGCATTCACAAATGCCCAATAAACTCCTCAGTCATCCTTATTTCATTTTCATTTTTTGGAACCCTTTCTTAATTTTCTAAATCCTACACAAGACTGACATGTACTCTTGCTCAATAATAAGAAGCCCTCATGCAAAATTGAAATAGTGTTCTCTCAAATGTGGTGGTGGGGGGGGAGTAAGGAATTATATTCCTGGAACAGTCTGCTAACCTAACCAAATGAATCTGATTCTTGTTCTATTGTTTCTCTGAGACCTCTTAGAAAAGCAGAGAGTGTGTAAAGTTGGCAAATTCAAGCCAAGGCCTGCTGCACCACGCCTATAGTCTCCACTACTTGGGAGGATGAGGATCACTTGAACCTAAGAGTGCAAGGCCAGCCAGTATGGGCAACATAGTGAGAACCCACCTATAAAAAAATTTAAATAACTTTTAATTAAGAAATTGGCAAAGTCAGTGGTATTCTGGTTCCATCAATAGTGCTGGGTTAATGGCCATACTGGCTCCTGGACAGCCTCTTCCCTGGCCACAAAAGGTCATCATAACAGCACTGTTTAAGCTGAACTTGTTATTTCTGGTCTCAAAGCTCTAGACTGCACTGAGACTTCCCCAGCAGAGCTTATTACCAAGGTTTCCTTCTTGTTATGTGGCTATCTGGGTATGTAGTCAGAAACCATCCACAGGGAAATCAGCCTGAAAGCTACCAGCTTGAATATTAAACATTAACACCTCTAAGGACCTCACTGGAAAAGATGCTTGCTAAGCTTGTGGCCCCTTACTCCCTCCTTACTTGGCTGTAACCTTCTGTTTTGTGTTCCTGGTAAATCCAATTACATCTCTATTACTTTAGGCTACCTTCAGCACTTCTTGGGAATTAGGCTGTCTGGACAGACACAGGCAGAGATACTCACCTGCCAGGTGGACCAGGTACCCTCATCCGATCCTTCATATTCCCTTTTGTCACATTTCAAAAGATGACAAATTATTTTATTAGCACCTAGTCCAAGAGACGGGAAGGCACTAGAAAGTGAAGCACCAAACTGCTACCAGTGGTGATATTTGAGCAACAAAGGCTGGAGCTGGCTTTACATGTTTCTCATTGCGATTTACTTTCCTAATTATTTTAATGGGCATGTGTTAACTGCAGAATAAAGTGCAATTATTTTCCTTATTAGCTGTAATTTACAGAGAAATGGTTTTAATCATATTACCCAGGGATTTTTCAAATCCATTGATCTTGGGGAATAGGGGGTTTAAACACTTATTTTAAACTATGCTTTCACTAATAAATTCAAAGCCTAAAGGGAAAAAATCCGTGTTTCTTCACCACGTTTCACAATAGCTATTAGATGACCACAGCATCATCAGAGTCATGGAAAATATACGCCTTGTGGGAGAGAGAGGAAGGGGGGGGGGCGTCAAGAGTTGCACTTTGCAAAGAAATTGTTTATGACACTCAAAAGTATAGGCTGAAGGTGATCTAGTGAACCTAGGAAAGCTCAGACCTGGTTCAAGATGACGCGGGTCTCTTACGACTCCAGAAGATGGAGAGAGGGCCCAGGTTCCGGGATGCTTGGTGTGGTCAGTGAATCCGGAGCAGAGCCCGGGACAGGGGTGTGGCTTGAGCATCAAACAGTGGCTGTCTTGAGCTGTAGGATCCGGCAGCTCCTCCGGACATAAGAAAGGGCTGACACCACAGACGGGGCACCTTTCCAGCAGTGGGAGCAGGGGACGGAGGGCAAGGCTGGCTGGGAGGCTTGAAGAAGCTGCGGCCCTACAGGGGCCGGGGCTACATTCCTAGAGCCTTCCAGGGTTGCAGAGAGCAAGACAGGCCTGGGTGCAGGGTCAGCACTAAACCCTGCTCGCCACTTCCCGCCTCCTGCCTTTTGCCTTTCGCTTGTTCCTTAGGTCTCCCCATCCTGCTTTGCGTTCTGCGCCTGGTTCGCCCCATCTTTTCTAGTGCCCCACCCGTCGTCCCGCCCCAATCCTGCCTCTTGCCTCGCCCTCCTCCCGCCCCACCGCTTGGGGGCGTCCGCGCGCGGTCAGGCTATAAAGCCTCAGGACCCCAAGACTACTGATCAGCGAGAGGCCTTGAGAAACTCGGGCTCTTGTGTTTTAGACCACTCCAGGCGCCATGGGCGAGCTTCCACCCTGCTTCCCAGTCTTCAGGATGCACTCGAACTTGCTTTCAAAACGGAAAGACACATCCTTCCACCCCGACCGCCTGTGGATCTGGGAAAAAGCCGTGTACAAGGACGAGAACCAGCGCACCTGGCTGCCTATAGCCATGGAGGTACAGTCCCCCTTGGGCCCGAGCAGGTGGGGTGGCGGGCGCGTCAACCTCCCTGGGAACTGCAGAGTCCTAGGACAGGGAGGCTGTCGAGGAGCTCCTTCTGTCCGTCCTGGTGAGGGCGGTGTAAGGAGGTTCAAAAGGCCAGGTCCGCTCTGGGCGTCCCTGCAGATGAAACCACTTTGAGCTGCGTTCTGAAGGGTAAATTGGAGGAGTTCTCCAGGCCACGAAGGAGGGTGGGAAGACTACAAGGCCTGTTTTCGAAAGGGTGGGACTCAGTGCTTCTGGGGTGTGTGACTAATACCTCGAATAAAACAGGACTCATGGCTCAGTGCCTGTAGCTCAGCGGCTAGGGTGCCGGCCACATACACCCAAGCTGGAGGATTCGAACCCAGCCCGGGTCTGCCAAACAACAACTACAACCACAACCAAAAATAGCCGGGCATCGTGGCGGGCGCCTGTAGTCCCAGCTACTTGGAAGGCTGAGGCAAGAGAATCGCTTGGGCCCAAAAGTTTGAGGTTACTGTGAGTTGCGACGCCACTGGCACTCTCCCAAGGGCAACATAGTGAGACTTTGTCTCAAGCAAACAAAAAACAGAACTCTTGGGAACAGTTATATCTAAAGAAAGCGATTCATAGGTGTGGCTGATTATCAGAATCTCCTTGATTCTGGCCCCAGAAATCTGTCTTCTAAAAAAACCCTCAATAGATTATGATTAACCAAGTGCAGGAACCACTGCTATAGAGTATGCAGTATTTCATACCTCCTCTATACTTTGGAACAACTAAATAAGCAAGTAATATAGTAGTATAAAACCTGATGTTGAATACATGTTGACTTGACTTAAAATGTGATGCTGTAAGATGGGTCTTTAGTTAATGTTAACTTTTTAAAAAGACTTATAAGTCTTTTACAAGTACTTCCTTGAGTAAACTCAAGACTCAAAGAACAGTAGGCAAAAATGTTGCAACTTTTCCCATATATAAACTGAAGAAAATAAAAAAGCAAAATATATAATATTAGAACACTTATGTGGCACAATAGCAAACAGCAAAAAGTTATTGACTGTTAACTATGTCTCCATTTTACAGATGAGGATACTGAGGCATATAAAAATGTAAATTTGCTCAAGGTAGTACTGCTATTAATAGTAGGTAATGGGGTTGGAATTCCAGGCTCTTAACCATTGTCTAAATTTGCATTTTTGATATTTTAAATTTTTAAAACATACACTAACAAACCAAATTAAATTTTAAGTCAAGTGTTTGAAGAATATTTGGGCTAGTATCTCTTTTAAACCTGTGGTTGAGAAATATATTCAACATAACACTGAAACCATGAACCTGATAGAATGTTTCCCATGATTAAATGCCTCACAAAAAAAAAAAAAATAGCCCATTAGCCAACTGGGGCAGAGTTTGCCTTATGTCATCTAAGGTCTAATATTCTTAATATGTAAAAATTTACTCAAATCACTGAGAAACAGATGAATAATGCAAACTAAAAACGGTTAAAAGATATGGAAGGCGATTTCCACATATTCACCTTATAGTACAATCTGAATTTTTTTTTAACAGTTCTAATTTATTTCTTAGAAAATTTCAAAAAGTGACTTCTAGGGCTGCACCTGTGGCTCAAAGGAGTAGAGTGCTGGCCCCATATACCAGAGGTGGTGGGTTCAAACCAGGCCCCAGCCAAAAACTGTGGGGAAAAAATAAAATTAAATTAAAAAGTGACTTCTACTTTGGGAAAATACTCATTGAATGCCAGGCACTGTTCTAGGCTGAGAAAGAGAGTCTACAACAAATGGGATGGTGGAATCCCCATCACTTGTGAAGCTGCCATTCTACTGGGGAGGCAAACAATAAAATAATGAAGGTGACAGTGAGTTGTGTAGAACTAGGCTGGGGTGAAAGGCAATGGTGAGTGGTGAGGAAGTCTTCAGACAAGACACTTCCCTCCCAGAGATTCTTAATTTGCATTTGACTTTCAAATTTTGCCCCATCATTTTATTTGTAATCCTTCTGAATCTCTTTGTTTGGAGCATGGCCCTTATGAATATTGTAGAGTTGGAGTTTGCTGAATTTTTTCCCCTTCAATTGGTGAATGAGTCCTATTTTCAGTTACTGATATGTTAGGTCTCTGGCATGATTTTTATGTTGTATTTATCTTTAATAGACATTAACATTTGAGCAGAGACCCGCCTAAAAGAGTGGAGTGAGCCCTACATAGACCTGGGGAGAATATTTCAGGCCGAGTGGACAGCAGGCTGTAGGGATTGTTGGATACATTCACAAGTGTGGCAGGTTCCAGAAACAGCAAGCAGTTGTGTGGCTGGAACAGGGTAGAGTATGAAGCCCAGAGCAGTAGGAGATGAAGGAGGCAGGGTCTCACCACATGATTCTTTGTGGATTTCTGTGGGCTGTGGTAAAGATTTCCAGTCATTCTTCCCATGATGGGAAGTCATTAGAGGGCATCAAACAGAGAATTGCCATCATTTGTAGATAGTCACCGTGTCTACAGTACAGAGAACTGGTAGTAGGGACAAGAACAATAAGATGGTAAGGCCGGAGATTATTACAATAGTCCAGGGGAGAGATAATGGTAGAGGGGCACTGGTGGTGATGGTGGAAAGTGGTTGGTCCATGGACAACTTATTTAAAAGAGAAAATGGGGGGGAACCCCATGACAACTGAAAGAGGCACCAAACTGCATTGTTAGGAAGCTCACAGGCTCATGTCATACCCCAGCAATAAGAAGTTTGTTGAGAAAAAGTATGCTTTTTGCGGCCTTGTCTGGGTGGCTAGACATGTATGAGTGCTGGTGGGTCTAGCCCAGCCAGAGTCCCTGAGAGGAGCCGTCATGGCCTAAGGAACTGAGCTTAGGAGATAGTGATCACTGGCGTCTCACACTCTGGACATGGGCTGGGTAGGTGGCAGATGGGACTGTGGTTTCCTGTGCCCAAAGGAGCCACCATGAGCTGGACCTAACGGTGTGCCCTGATCTTTTCTTCTCTTCAGACAGAGAGTGGCCTCCAAGTGCTCATGCATCAGGAAGATGTCCCCCTGGGCAAGGCTATGAGCCCCAGTGAGCTGGAACCGTTCCTGCTGCCTTTGATGTGGCAGCTCTACCCTGAAAAAAGATACCGAGCTTCAGATTCCAGTTTCTGGCGCATAGTCTACCACGTGGAGGTGTGTTGGGTGGCCTGCTTCCCCTCCCCCTCGTCTGACCTCATTGGTGTATCTGTTCCCCCCATCTCTATACCAAAAGCTAAAAAAATATAATCTGCAACTGTAAGTCTTTAAAGGACTAGATTCGAGAGAAGTTAGATCCTCTGAGGTGTCTAAAGCAACTCGTCTTGGTACAAGAGAAGCCCTCGTTGGTGGGCAGACAGGACTGAAGGCTGGTGGGAGGAAGAGGGGCAGTCTCGGAGGGCCCCTGAAGTCTTCACACGCAGGTTCCTGCTTGCAGCTGCAGTCTAGTGGAAGTCACAACAGTGAGCCATGGAGGGAGCATTCCCTGGATTCTGCTGTCTAATCTTTCCCTTGTCTCTCTCTTTCTCTTAGTTCAATGGCATGGAGGACATGCTGCTTGAGAAGCTGCCCCTCCTGGAGTGGGAATGATAATGGTGAGCACTGGCTGGGGGCGGGGGGGAGGAGCCCATACCCCTTAGTGCACAGTGGCCAGGTCAGAAGGAAGGAGCTAAGGTGGTGCTGAACCCTCCTCTGAAGGTCCCAGGGATGGGACAAGCTCCCCAGAGGTGCCTGTGTCTCTTCTTTACCACTTCAGGAGCCAGAGCTTCCTAGACAGCCCCTTCATCACAGCTGTACACATCTGGGCCGTGCTTCCCAGGTCATGGCCCACACTTTTGTCTACCATCATTTTATTAAATAAGCACCAGAACTTGATCATCACATCAGTGAGCTAAGTATTATTAGCTGGTATTGGTTACAAAAAGAAGGTTTAAGGAAGTATAGTGACTTGTCCAAGTTTCAAATCCAGGCCTCCTGACCCCATGCCCCTTACCCCATTCATAATTGGCCCTGGCTCAGACACAGGCTTCTCTCTGGGGCCAGCACTGATGACAAGCTCCCCGGCACTTGCCCCTGCAGCACTGCACTCACCACCACTTGGTGTTCCCCTCTGACCCTGTCTTCTCTTGTCCTTTCCCAGGTCTCGCAGTTCCGGTCTCCTTTTACCCCAGTGCTGGAATCCTGCTGGCCTACAATGGGGATGTTTGTGCTTGTGTTCATCTTTGTTTACTAGCCCTGTGTGTTTTCCTTTACCATGCTGGGGTCTGGAGGAAATGGACAGGCAGAGGATGGGCCCTACTCAGGGCCTGTGAGACCTGCCTGCAGCCCACTCAGCCTCCCTCAGCTTTCAGCACTGCTGTCTGCCTGGCAGATGGCACCAGGGAGGGCCCAGATCACTATAGCTTCCTCTCTGTGCCCCAACTATACCTGTGCCTCTGACTTTCTCAGCTGGCTGATGGTTTTCAGACTTTCTCTGTCCCTTCTGGCCTTCATAGTAACTGCTGTCTCATGCTATACACCCAAGGGCTGTTCCTGTTCTGTCCTCTCAGCTTCATGTACCCCAAGAATGGAACCTATGTCCCTGAGCCAGTCCACTGAGACTCTGGACCAGCCATCTTACATGGTGCTGTGCCTGTAGAAAACCCACCTTTCCTCGCAGGTTCAGATGCAATTCAAGGAAAGACCTGAAAGGAGCCTGTGTCTGTGCTCAGGACACAGAAGCCCATTGGTCAGTGCTCCACAGCCCATGACAGCAGGGAGCCAGGCAAGTGAGCACTGAGAACGAGCCCTCTGGTGGCCCACTGCAGAAGGGATACAGTTTGGATCTCCCCACTTGACAGGTGGTCATGCACCTGGGTGTTATGAGGTTGTGTGTAGCATGAACACTTGCAATGTTGATTGATTAAATGTAAGATAGTTCATCTAACTTTTGTTTAGCTTCTATCCCTGACCTAGATTCTAGTAAGAGAAGTGAGAATAGGCAGTCACCAAATAAGAAAGAATATTTATGAATTTTATGTATTTGGTAGTAAGGCTGACATATATATACACACAGTGAGGCCATAAAGTTCGTGTGCAAACACACTATTTAAAATTGCACATGAACTTTACGACTGTCCTATATAATCTAACTTTCAAAATCCAAGTGTTCTTGGAGGCATACTTTGAGAATCACTGGAATAAGTGACCTCAGAAAGCTGTCAGCAGTCAGTCAAAATCCCTTTTCATGGGGTCCTGCCTACCCACCCCTGACGTGCTGCCTACCACAGCTTGCTCTGGCTGTTCCTCATCCAGCCACACACCAGGCTTTGTCCCTGCAGAGGAGGCCTTTCTCCTCTGCTCTCAACCCTGGTAGGAGTCACCTGCCTGGAACTGTCCCTGATGACTCAGGCCCCAACCAGACTCCCTTCCCTACCTCCTCTGACCTGCCATCACAGCAGAACCCAGCCTGTGCCCTGCCCTGCTGCACTGCCTCAGCAGATAGCAGGCAGGACCTCAGGCAGCACTAGAGGATAACTTCCAGAGAAAGGAACCCATTCTGTGTGGAATCCTGGTCTTCCCACTTCAGTATGAATCTAGCCCACAGCTTCCTCATCACTGAGATAGGGGTATTAAAACTTAGAAGGTTGTTCTGAGAATTCAGGGGTATAATGTAAGTGAGGTGCTTTAAGTGTCTAGAAAAACAATTGTTTAAGAAACATACCTCCCCTCCTATATTAAAATCTGATCCCAGGCTTCTTACCTGTTAGTAGACAGAGAAGCAGCATCGACACCACATGGGACAAGATTTATGACTCCTGTTCTAACCCCGTCACCTTGCACAGTGCATGGCAGCATGAGTGGTCTGTGGAAGCAATTGCTATACAGATGCTTCTCAGTGGGGACGGAACACAAGTGTATCAGAGCAGAAGGAACATCCAAGCTCAGCCAGCCACCTTCAGGAATAAGAATATGGGGGCTCAGAAGAAAGTTCTTACATAAGATTCTCTTTTAACCAAGTATTTGACCACCACCATGAAATGTGCCCGGTACTATACATACAGCAATGAGCAAAACAAAGGCCGTGGTAGGCAGCCTTCATTCTGGATAAAAGAAGATACCTCCAGAAGAAGAGGCTAACGTGGTAGGGAGTGAGGTCAGATGGTAAAAGTAGTTTTGGTATTTAGGACTGAACTTTGAAAAAGGAGGAGGCAGATTCTTTTTTTTCTTTTTATTAAATGACAGCTGTATACATTAATGCAAACATGGGGTACGATGTAGTGTTTTCATATACATTTTAAAATACTTTCATCAAGCTGGTTCACATAGATTTCATGTCATTTGCTTAGTCATTGTGTCAAAACATTTATATTCTAGTTCTAGAAAAGTTCACTCGTACCCTTGTTAGACATATAGGTGATCTTTCCGGTCACCCTCCCACCACCCAGCCGCCCTTCTCCCCTCCCCTTCCCCACCCCCTCCCCATATTCTTGGGTTAGAATTAGGTTGTACCTTTCATTTGAGAGCTATAAATTAGTTTCATAAAAGGGCTGTGTACATTGGATACTTTTTCTTCCATTCCTGTGATACTTTGCTAAGAAGAACATTTTCCAGTTCCATCCATGTAAACATGAAGGAGGTAAAGTCTTCGTTTTTCTTTAGGGCTGCTTAGTATTCCATGGTGTACATATACCACAGTTTATTGATCCATTCGTGGATTGATGGGCACTTGGGCTTCTTCCATGACCTGGCAAATAGGCAGATTCTTAAAAGGCAAATACTACGTAGATTTAATTTGCTGTGGAAATTAAAACCAGGAGCTCTGGGCTGGGGTTGAGGAGTTGGTATTTGTGTGGAAGGAGGTGGAGGCGCAGGAGGAAGGGGGAAGCAGAGCGCCGGCCGGGAGGGCGGGAGGAGGCGCGGCCAGGGCGGGCAGCCAAGGTGAGGCGAGCCGAGGCGGGGAGCCGGGACTAGCAGCGGCCGAGCG